ATATTAACGCTTGTAGAACAATAATATTTTTGTAAGATTGTTAGCGGAAAATTGGGAGGAAAAAAATCAAACAACAATTTTGCATCTAAGAATTTTCATCAGGGAAATGCAAAGACATCAGATGCTATTGAAAAACTTTAGACTCTGCTACTATCTATGGAGGAGTAATGATGCAGTTTTTCAGGAGAATTTATTGGTCAGTAGGTGGTGATTTTGCACATGTTCCTCTCTAATCTAGAACCTAACCATTGCAGTATAAGTTAGCACGGTGATACAGCCCATCGTATCACAGCACTTTATCCTGCTGCACAGGCCTGTGCACAGAAACACACATAAAAACATAGTTACCAAAATGAACTGGGAAGACAGCTGTACAAACACATGGATGAGATAGAGGAAAGACAGACACTAAGAAACACTAGGAAACTAAACGAATAAAATCAACCGCAGATCAAATACTCTTTTAGTTCAATTCAATTTTATTTATACAGCACCAAATCAAAACAATAGTTTTCCTCAATCATATATAATTATATCCTTAAACTTAGTTACAGCACTTTCAGAAAGAAATCTACTGTAATGAAATTTATTCCCCACTGCTGTGAAAATCATTGTTGTAAATGTAAATGTCATTAAGAAAACAGTCAGAAAAAATAGGTTTTTTGGGAATACTGTTAAATATTCCATTTCTATGGCATATGTTAGAAAAAGATGCGACTGCGATTAAAGTGGTGGGTGGGCTCTTTTGAATTTTGCGAAAAGCCAGTAGACAATGGACGGTGGATGATTTGATGAGCAGCTCTAAGGCCGAGTAGATATAGAAAAAGGCGTAGCTGGTCCCCTTTAGGCATTATGATATTGGTCAGAACAAAACCAGAATGTTGCTCTTTATTTATGTTTACAAAAGATGGTTGAAACAAAGCTTTGTTTTCTTTTTCAAGGTTTGGCTAGCCAAGATTTTGTATCAAACCTCTGTTATTGTCTTATTGTTTACTGTGTTGGCTGTCCTATAAGCAAAGTTTCCATGGTTCAACAGCAAACTATTCAACTTGGTTAGAAGTTTGGGGCAAAACCTAGAAAACAACATATGATTACCATAGTCACAGCAATGTGTGCATAAGGGCATACAAGCAAACAAGCAGTCATGTTAGGGGCATTTACACATTTTGCAATACCTGTTTTCTTTTTGTTTTGTTTTGGTTAACAATCAGTACAATGCTGCTAAAGCTAAATTGGACGTATAAACAACACTTTTGCCCATGAATGGAACATATCACATAAGCTTTCAAGCACCAAGAAACCTTCACACCCACGCATCCATATTGATTTTCCTTCACTTTACTTTTTGTAAGCGGCATGAAAAACAAAAGTAGAGGACGTTCTTGCTTAACTGGGAACATTTGTTTTCAATAAACAGGTGTTCTTCTGTTGTTGTTGCCCCTTTTGGTCTTTTTTTTCAATACACTTCACTGTAAGTGACTTACACTTACTGTAGTCTTATAACGACTGGAAAAAACAAACGCTTCATAAATACTCAACTAAATTGAGTATAACTTTCTGCATTTACGAAACTTTTTTTAAACTGTTGGTTGGTTGGATACTGCTACTGTTTACTGATGTGACAGAAAATGAGTTGACTTAAAATGCAGGTTAAAAAAATTCAAAGTATGTCCATAACGCCAGGTAATGGAAATAGTATTGATTAGAAATCTTTGTTTATCCCTGCATCAAGCATAACAATGGTCCTGGCTAAAAAGACGCTATTGTTTTGACTCAGGGATAGTAATGTTTTGGCACAGTTCTTCTTGGAACTGTAATCCACCTGCAAATCATAAATAAACGCATGCCCTAAGCAAGGTTTTTCAGTGTTTTCTCATGGCCACTGGCCAGCGACCAGCCTTGAGGGGTGTGAGGGGCCCTGCCAGGGGTCACCAAAGGTGACTTGTTGGTGAAGTCATTCTGGGATCAATGCCCAATACCTCAAGCACCTAAATGAATACTTCATCTCCTTTCCTCATTAAGAAATCCATGTGGCTGTGAAAGAGGGCTAGATAAAAATTAAAGTGTCTTTAAACTCAATTAAACTTAACATATTAATAATAAAAACGAACCTAAAATTAAACAGTTCGAACAATCAACTTGAGTAAAACAAGCAAACTAACTCTGAAACAAATTTTAAAAAATGTAATGCATAAGAAAAGCTAACAAATATTTAAGAAAAATATGATAACTCTCTCTGTAGGATATTGTTTCGAACAGTGAGTGTGTCACAGCAGATGCAGAAGAGCAGTTTAACTTATTTCTTTGTAGATCACCATGTAACAAATGATGTTTACATACAGATTTATTAAACATATTTGATCACAAAAAGGGGAGTAATCTGATTTTGATGACAAGTATGAAAAGGTGACTACTGAAACCTTTTAGTTTGTTGTTTGTTGCTCCAAACCTTACAAGTTGAATGGACTTGTTGATCTTACAAAATCGGAAACCCAAACTGTTTCCTGCATTTACAAATCAGAATAAGCTGCATTAATTTCTCCCTTCCTAAAGCCAACAATTAGTGCATCCCATCCATGTTAACGGTCAATAAATAAAAAATGATATATGTTCATGTTTGGTCTAGGGTGTTTTAGTGTTGTTTGTGCATATGTATTTCATTAGTTCACACAGATGCTTGCAATATAATCTCCCGAGAGCATTTTTACAGGCATATCTTTACAACTTTTAACTACAGTATTCAAATGGGGGGAGGGGGACTATTTTCCACAATGACCTGAGGCACATATATGGAGTCCTGCAGCGTTACTGTCATGACAACAACTTGAACATGCATAGCACAGATATTGTGCAGCACTTACGGCTCCTACTTCCTCCTGTTCCACTGACAGAGGCCTGGTTCTTCTCAGGAGCATTAGGGGGCATCGCAGCCTAACTTTGTTCCCCCTTGGACGCTTTCCCTCACTCAGATACTACACCTGGAGTATCTGATACTACACCTGGAGTATCTGATACTACACCTGGGGTATCTGATGGCAGTTAAATTGTATATATTTAAGGTGGGTTTTCTCCATCACATCCAACCTTCCTACTAACTGCAAAGAAAAATGTTAGTATTTATTATACAGACAGATCAGAAATAAGCATTTATATTAATGTTATGTTATTTCCAGTAAAATGGACGGTTTCTGTCCAGACCAAATGTAAAGTAATTTGCTCCAAGGGTGACACTAAGGGTAGTAAAATGACTTACTTTTATAGTAACACAAATCGGTCTTTGTAAGTTAATATAATCTGAGACTTTGTGGTTGAGGACATGTGATTGTATTAATCTGTTTGTGGTTTCCTTATTGTACAGCATCTACAGTCCCTTATGCATCAATGGAAATAATCTGTATGCTTGATCCTATGTGCTTCTTCCTTAAGTACCCACATGTGCACATGCGTATATCTGTGCGTCTCTAAATTGCATTGCATTCACTTCTTTGATGTCAGAGTGCACAGGTGTGCGTTGTGCGCTCTTTTTCTTTCTTTTCCTTCAATTACCACAGCCTAAAATACTGGAAGCCGCTGCTGCATGATTGGCACGGTTTACGACGAATCACGTGACAATCAAAGGGTCCTGCCTATGAAGCTAAGGAGACCACCAACGTGGCCAAAAAAGGAACAGTCCTATAATTGGGTGAACTTTTTTCTGAGCATTCTGACTGTGACCAAGACAGATTACGATGCATCTCTTTCTCTTTCTCTCCTCACAACACTTAATCATTCCTTTATATCTTTATTATAACTGACTCGTTTCGCTCTCCGAGGAGCGGGAAATCACGGATTTGTTCTGAATGTTCTCCCCACCAGGACAGAAGATGGTAAGTGCTCGGCTGGCAGCCACACGCCCAGAGTCAGCTTAGAGGGCTTAGGTGTGAAGTACACCTGATGCTCTGGCGAGTCAAGAGTGGCTGCTGGAGTTAATTGTTTTGCTTATTATAACCTTATTATTTTGACCCGATGTCTGTTTATTTGAATGAATTTGTTTTTATCTTTATTTCATGAAAAAAGTTCTATCAGAATAAAGTCAATTATAAAATAAAAACAGATAAATGCTACCTCCTTTGGCAACCAGTTGTTAGGAGTTTAAGGACATCAGATTATAATGAAATCCTAAAATCCGCTTGCTTACTGTGCAGCAAGATGTAAATGCACAAATAGTTCTTATGTATATCTGCATATATATGAAATGTGATTTTTTTTTTTTAGCTAAATAACCATAATACTGTGATATTACACTGTCGAATCACTAGACTAAAGGGGAGATAATTATGCATTTGTATGCGTAATTGCGCATAAACACATCGCAGTTCTCTATAGGTAATATTTTCCCAGTTAGACGTTTTATCAAAGGGTTTTTGTTTTGCCTTGTAGAGAGCTGTGGTCCTGAGGCTGTGGCTTATTTTGATATGTACAAAACACTAATGAGCTGTTTTTTTGGCGGTGTTTGACTCTAAAGATCGCAACAACACTATAGCCTACAAGCCGCCCCCCTCTCATTGAACCAGTTAGAGGCTCATCTGAGGGGGAAAAAATAGTTAAAGTTCTGACATGCCAAAAAGCCCCCTCCGATGCACAAACGGGTACCTTGTCTTTGACTTCGGGTCCTCTCAGGGAAACGCTTCATTATTGTAACGGAGCTCTACGTGAAAACCTGAATGCACCAAATGGGTTCGACTCTCGGCGAGCCTCCCCTGAAGTTGGAGATGCTCACATGAGGTCTGCCTGCCTGGGTGGTCTCTCTACTTTAGTGAGCTGTTGCTAAGCAGCTAATAATAGTCGTGTTTGCTGAGTAATTTCTGCCCTTCTGGAACCAATCAGATGCAAGAAACTCCTGCAATCTGACAGCCCCAGAGGCGGGATCTCGAGTATTTTTTTCCTCTTCTCACCCCTCCTCTTTCTCTGCCTCCAAATGGAGAGAGGTCTTTTTCTTCATTTCTATTGAATCTCAGAGTTGGCCGTGACGCGCGGCCCAGGGGAAGACCACATAGATGTCACCAGAATGCTACGACTATCGAGGTTTCATACCCGACAACTTGTGTATGGAAATCACTTCGCGAAGCTCGCTTTTTGAGAGAAACTTACTTTTTTAAGAGACACGGTGAATGCGGTGAAAGCGGTGGAGACCTCCGGATCACGAAATGTTGGGATGGAAGGCGCAGACTTTGACTCGCCGTCTCCAACAGGAGTATGAAGCCCTACTTCACGGGTGTGAGATCTCCGAGAGTGAAACTCTGTTCTCTTGGGATATCGCTACACGCTTTCGGGGAAATACTATAAAGTGGGAAACCTTATCGCTGTCCCCGCAACATGGCCTCGGCTGGTAATGCGCCCTCCGAGCAGGAAAACAGAGACCCCGATCGGCCGAGGATAACGCGGAGGAACAGGGGGGACTATACCCGCAACACACCGCTGGATTTGGAGTATTTGCAGCGGCCGAGTTACTGCGATGCGGGCTTTGCTCTGGAGCAGATTTCAGAGGTGCTTATTTCTCATCTTGAACGGGAAAAGGCTTTGTGATGCTGCTTTCATTGTATTCGTCGAAAAGAAAAAAAAATGTGGCCAAACTGTCCAGTCGCTGCTAGGTAACGGGACGGGCTGGGCACGGGGTACACAGCGGTAAGGCAAGGTTGCAGAAAAGCGCAAAGTAGTTGTGTTTGATTTCACGCGACTCTTCCGATACAACCGGCTTATGATGAAAGATGTGCTGCAAGTTCTAAGTGCCCGTTCCCCCAGTACAAACACGCGATTGTTTCCAGTGCATCCCCAACCTAGAGCGGTCCCGCACCAGGCAAAAAACATGCAGCTTTTACTCTCGCAGGCAACGCTGCCATTGACCGTTTCATAACATCCAGCCTTTCTTTTACGCGGAGCACCCAAAGCTTTAAAGAGTTTCGGTGACACTGTCTAAACTTGGGTGACTCGTGTAAAGAGGAGGAAAGTAAAGAATCCATGTGGCTGCCCTCTTCCGTTCACAAATATTGTGATTCCTCCCCGTGATAGCTCCTTCACTTCCCCGTGCAGGCCGGAACACACGAGCGGCCAGACGGGGAGAGCGCGTGTGAGTGCGTGGTGGTGGTATTTGTGGTTTTACCACATGCGCCCATTCAGGGTATTTAATATCACCGGGAGATGTGTGCGTGCAGGTTACTTCAGTAGCAATTACACTACACCTCAAAATGTAATAGTTTTTGTCAAGGGGGAAGCATGTGGTCTACAGTGCATTCAGTATTTTATTTTATTCTGTCTTTTAAGACTTATAGTCTGCTACTAACAGCAGCATTGTGCTTCCAATGGACATTTTACATAAAGAGTAGAACAAAGACACAAGGGAGCCTGCTTAGTCTAGTTGTGGTTTGACCGTTATGTCCTGTTTACCTGTGTCTACTCTGGAGGTCCAGATGTACTTATTTTGGACTATTTTTAAAAAAAAATATTAGCCAATTATTGTGGCTGTGAAATGACAGGGAATGGTGGTACCTTCCCAGTGCATGTATTATGCTAAGGATTCTGATCTGACAGGACCTGTAGCTCGCACTCTGGGGAGTCCTCAGCAGTGCCCAGGATCCCCAGCAGATTTGTGGTTTTTCAGTGAATAAAGGTTAGCAGAGGGATTTAGTGGATGTGTTGGAAGATCCCAGCTCTCTGACTTTAGATCCCCGGTTGTAGGTAAATGTGCAGTCTTACTGAAAAGAGAGCAGGTGGGATTCTTTGATCAAAGAGAGGCTTGTACTTTAAAGCTGTAAAGGTTCTTTTAAGTGGACACATTTATTGTTGTAGCTTATTTGCATGTATACCATAAAATCTTTTGTCTTTAACCCTACAGCCTCACCTGAGCAGGTAAGTGTGGTGCTTTGTCTGTTAACTGACAGTAACTCTGTGACTCTTGTCTTATCATAGGGGAAGGCAACTGGGAGGAAAGCACCTCTGTGGCTGAGAGCGAAGTTCCAGAGACTTTTATTTAGGCTGGGCTGTTACATTCAAAAGAACTGCGGAAAGTTTTTGGTTGTTGGCCTCATGATTTTTGGAGCTTTTGCTGTGGGCTTACGGGCAGCTAATTTGGAAACGGATGTGGAGAAACTCTGGGTGGAAGGTAAGACGCTCTTGATTATTTTGTTTTTTGACAAGCTGTGCAATTCATGATGTTTTTAAGTGTGACCTGCTGGGACTTTTCTTTATTTCAGTGCTTTTGAAACTGTTTGACTTCATATTGCATGTTTCCAAGAATTTGACACAGTTTAGTTTGGAGGAAGAAGGTTTGTTGGTGTTACTAAATGAAGTAGGTAAGGGGATTGTTTATTGTATAGGTGCTGGCAAGCACCCAAACAAAACTTGAAAATACTTGACTATTCCCAACACACTTAGCTTCTAAAACCGTTCTAGATGCACACATAAGATGTGCAAGGGCTGAGTGTAACTATGCTCATAAAAAGTTGTAATTAAGTTCATAAGGGGCTTTCGGGGTAGAGGAAATTTTTGTGAAAGCCGCCATTTTGTGAGATGTGTGTGAGTGTGTGTGTGTGTGTGTGCGTGTGTGTGTGTCTGCCTGCCTGCCCCCAGCAGTTGACTGTGTGTGGTCCCGTTTTGGACAGCTCTCAACTTTCCAAAAAGATTTGTCTCTGGCTGCAGGGAAAAAGCGGAGTGAGGGCAGGAACTTGTGTTTGCGGGGTGGATGGAACATTTGTTAGTTTTCCTTGTTTTTGAAATTCCTAAACAACTCATGAAGAGTGAAAATATATAAGGAAGAAAGAAACTGTGCATATGGGTGGTGCTTGTGGGGGGGTTTAAGGGGAAGGGGCTGAGCTTTTTTTCCTTTCCTTTGATCCACATTCCTGCGCTTATGGGTAGAGTTGGCTGTAGGAGTCATGAATGGAGGAGCAGACTTGTTGAGAAATTGAAGTGGAGTACTGTTTGGTTATAAAAATGAATGCATTTTTTTTAGCGTTTGCTTGTGTGGTTGCCTTTTTAACTTTTTTAAACCACTTTGTCTCAGGTTTAAAAAAAACAAGTTAACAAGACCAAGCACTAAAGCAAACTGATTCCTGTACAGATCAAACACCACACCTCCTGCCCGGGGTTGGCTGTTCTCCCCTTGCGTGCAGCTGCAGGGGTCTGACAGACAGCGTGTTCTTCTAATCTGCGGCGCAGGCGCAGTTGGCAACAGTTTAGGCAGAGGGGAGCCTCTTTGGGATAGGAATCCTGATTATACTCAGAGGATCGCACTGTTTTCACACCCTTTCACATGTCTGACCACGGTCGTGTATACTAAAGTGACCGGCACCTTATGGAACTGAATATTATTGCACACTTCACAGTGCATCCTTTACTCTTACACACAAGTGCTGAAATGAATTAGTAATATATTCATAACTTCTTGTAATTTATGTAAAAAAAAATGAATAAATCAAACATTTGCAGGGACCTGTCGCCGTTTTGTTGCCTGTTTGATTTAATTTTAAACGCTGTGTGGGATTAAATTACTAAAATTACTAAAAAATACTAAGAGCATCACTTTGGCCTGTTATAACTTATGAGCTTAACTCTTCCTTCTCATACTGCTGCCCTTCTCAAAGAACGGGGTTTAGAAACATTTTGCAATGAAGCCTTTTGGCTTCAAGATACATTGCAAGTGCAAACTGTAGACTTATTTCAGCTTCTTCAGAGTACTGAGGTTAAAATTACTAAAAGCTATAGCTTCAGAGTTATTGATTCAGTAGGTAAACGGTCTTCTTGTAGCTTCTCAAATGTGAGAATTTTTAGATTTTCTCAGTTTCCCATTATTATTTGCACCTTTTTGTCTTTGCAAGGTCTGGTAACTTGGGATTTATCAGCATTTTCTGATGTTTCAGCTGATTCTGTTGCAAGTTTAGCTCTGCTGGTGTTGCATCAAATTCAGGATACTCAAACCCAGAGTGACTGTACACTTTTGTTTTGTTCCACCAATAAATTTTGGTGTTGACAGAACTGAACCTGACCTTGACTGACACACAAGTAGTGTAGTGACCTCTGCTAGACATCTACAAAATGGTCTCATACTGGCTCACACCAAGATGCGAACCCCTGCTCGTACACAGGCTCAGACTACAAGACAGGGCTGCTGTGGTTTTCTACATCCCGATAAGTGAGGGGTTCCAGATGCTGGTAGGGAGAGATCTGTTTGTTTAGATTAGACTGCACAGCTGAGGGATAGATTAGTTCTGCCTGGACCGTGGAACGCTGTGCTGGGCCGTGCTGGGGGACTGGCCCATCGTCCGAGAGGAAAAAGAGGAGAGGACAGAGTGCCTGTTTATGTTTCATTTGGTTGGAACTGCCTCTCCGCAGGCGACCCATGGACGACCCCACGTGGAAGCTGTGTGGCCTGTGGATGCGTGCGCGCATACAATACAGCCCAGCTCCCATCAGATCTCTCAGCTCCTCCAGTGTTCACCGGAGCAACATTCACGTTTGCGATCTCGTGTCGTGTCGGTCGTCACCTGCTTTCTGATAGCTGCAGAGCAGCTGAGGTCTCCGGCAGACCGCCGTTAAGTCTCTACTGCAGTTAGCTTGTAGGTTCACGTGCCGCAGCTTTTGCGGGGATTGTCTTTTCTCACACAGTGCTCACTCAGCACTGTTTATAAATACTCTGACACAGGAAGTTCTGTTTATTAGACAAAGTGACAGAGACCAATTGGGAGCGAGATGCATGCCTGCACGAAGACGCAGTGGTGTCAGACCTCTGAGGATGCATGGAAGTTTGTTCTTTACTTAACAATCGGGGCAAGATAGTAAGATTTTCAGTCTTGTTTTTCCCACTTAGAAAACATCAAAGTGACCGTGGTTTCTATTTGGGGCAGATTGTATCCACACTACAGACAAGCTCTGTGTTTATATCCACTCACAGGAAATGATTAGTTCAAACAGGAAGCTGTAGTATTGTGGTGTACTGTCTCCCCACACACAATTGTGGTCTGAAGCTCTCTGTGTGCTTTCCTCGGTGTTGGAAAACATGCTCACTGGCTTGCGACCTCAGATGCATCCTCAGCTTAAACCTGAAGATCATCTAGATGATCTTGCAGTGATTAACAATAAGCCACGTTCATGGAGAAGAGACATGGATGAGCGAGGAATGAGAGTCCTTTAGGTTTCCTCCTGGCTGCAAATGGAGCCATGCCTTGGCATTCTAGGTTATGGCAAAAACAGGCCAAATTGTAAAGAAAATAGAAGCACTGCCTGCCACTAATTAAAACAGTATCAGATAAACATTGGCCTTCCTGTAGGACAGCCCCTCTCTCTTTTTTGCTCCGTTTCTTTGCAGAGAGAAAGGCTGGAGATTATGGAGCTGTGCTGATTGGGAAGAAGAGACGCAGGGAGGGGATGGTTTGGAAATTGGGGCTTTTGAAGCTTGAGCTCTGGGCAAGGGTTGAAGTTGAAGCCAGGGGTGAAGCAGACGATGTGGAGCTGTGGGGTAATCGTGGCTGGAGTTTTATTTAGTCTATAGATTCAGCCTAGACTGAAGCGAGGATGAAGCGGGCATTAAGTGGCTGCATTTTGTTCTCATCACACCTCAGGATCCAGAATTGTGAATCTGTGGACCAAAGAGGTTTGATGAAGAATAAGTGAAGGAGGAGAAGACGGAGGCTTCGTGTTAACACTGGCGACTGCTACGTAAACGGCATGTTTTTGCAGTATTGACCGATGTCAGAGTTTATTTTAACTTAGCTCTGCTCCAATCTTAAAACCACTGACATGTTGACATGGCTACACATCAGTGTTGACCTAGAAATATATTACATCCAGTCAGACACTTTGCTCTGTAATGATTGGTTAAGGAAAATTGAATCTCTTTCCCCTATGGAAACTTATTACCAAGAAGGAAAAAGAGTGTAATTGCCTGACAGTTGTGTCTGATATCAAATGTATGGCAATTATATGAATGATTCGAGTTTAAAAAGAGCTTGTGGTCTCCAGATTTATGGCTGGGACTGGGGCACAGGGCAGTGGATTGTAGTCTCAAGGCTGCAGACTGAGGGGAAGGCCTCGGTCCCGGAGCGCTTTCTTGGGGGGCATAAGTGCAGAGGCCGGGGGCCACGGGGGTAGACCCCTGAGACCCTGAGGTCATCTTGTAGAGGCCCCACTATTTAAAACCTTACCTGATACTCACCCTGTGGCCTGGGTGCAGAGTGAAGACTCACAGCAGAAGTGGGAGGGGGGGTGGAGGAACTGCAGCAAAGGTCGCAGCTGTCACCGGTCACTGTTTGTATATGTTCACGTGCGGGCATGTCGCATGTGTATGCCTACTGTATAATAGAGCGCCTCAGTGCCAGCTGTTTTGTTTCGAGTTTGCCCTCTTTTCTCATTGTGTGATGATTCAGTTTTGTGAGTTTCTGATCAAACTTTTAAAATCTCTTCTCCAGCAGAGGGCAGTGAATCTATTTTTTAATTTAATCTCTGAATTACTGTATAATAAGTTTATGTCAAATAAATATCCAAGGGCAACAACAGCGCACATCATCATTCCAGCTTCAACCACAGAACACAGTTGAAGGAGCGACATGTCACAGAGGGAGTAATTTCAAAGTCATACTGCAGAAATTTCACAATTTCATTTCCTTTTAAATTGAAAGTGGAGCGCCTCTAGCCTGTCCCTGAAATCAGTATGGTAACAGTTACAGTGGTGCCAGGCTATGTTTGTGTGGAGCCTGATTTAAGGTTTCAAAATCCAGTCTGATAGGATCAAATGTTGTTGTTGTTATTTTGTTTTTTTTCTAAAGCCATTCCTTGCCCGTTCCTCCGTGTCTGTTTTGTATCTACTATGATTAAGAACTGAGTCAACAGAGCTGGTGGTTGTTTTGTTGTTTTGCTGGTAATGGCAGTGGAAAAGGGTGCAGTATAATGTTAAGTGCATGCAGAAGAAGCCTTGACATCCTTTTTTGTGGAGGAGGAGGAGTGCCCTGAATGTGGTGTCTCCACTGAGAGGATTGTGGTTTGCATGGCTGAATTATTCAGCTTTTGATGTGTATACAAGCATAGATACATGCATGGGTGCATGTGCACACACACATGTACGCAGAAAGAGGCTTTGGAGTTTTGGTTCTGTGAATGAGTGGGTGGTTG